TTTGTAGAGAGATGTCACACGTAACAACCTTTCCAGTAACATTGCGCATCAAATCACAGGTAGGCAACAGGGTTTGTAGAGAGATGTCACACGTAGCAACCTTACCTGTAATATTGCGTACCACATCACAGGTAGGTAACAGGGTTTGTAGAGAGATGTCACATGTAGCAACCTTTTCTGTAACATTGCACACCACATCACAGGTAGGTAACAAGGTTTATACAGAGATGTCACATGTAGCAACCTTTCCAGTAACATTGCGCACCACATCTTGGTCACGTTAATGTTGTATGGTGTGATTGTTACTGTATGTCTTGGTCACGTCAATGTTGTATGGTGAGGTTGTTACTGTATGTCTTGGTCACGTAAATGTTGTATGGTGTGGTTGTTACTGCATGTCTTGGTCACGTCAATGTTGTATGGTATGGTTGTTACATCATTACACCTGACGTTATATGGGGTTGCTGCTGGAGTCGTTATTGTCGTTTTTAATATGTCTTGCTGTTGCGTCGCTACGATTTCGTCGTTTATGAAAGTAAGGCTGCTGTGTGCTGTTTTTTTTAAATATTCTGTTTTTGTTTTTTAGTTAAATGAGTTACTGTTTTTTTGTATACATCGTCGTTGTCATATGAGGACATCGTATATGCTGTAGTTTGTTGTTGTACATTGCTTCATTATCACTTTGCTATATGCTGTTGCTGCTGGAGTGATCGTCGTGTTTTTGTATACGTCACCGTTGTCATATGATGTTATCGTTTATGCTGTATGCCATCGTTCGTTGCTGTACGGCTGTGACTGATAATGGATGTTATGTCATTCACATACCTTTGACTTAAATGCTTGGCTTCACATGCGTGATCACATCATGAGGAATACTGGGGCCATCAAGGGCTCTCCTTCAGGCCACAAGACTCTGAACTGTTTTCGCATGTGAGCCACCTTCAAAAGTAGACCTTGTATTATCATATATGTTTTCAGTTCGACTGCAAATTTAATGAACCATTGGGTAAATATGCACAGACGCAGTAGATATACAGGCAGATTTTTACTTAATTGATTAATACAAAATCTCTCCAAAAACCGGCTACTTACATGTGACATCCCTCTACAAACCTGTAACCTACCTGTGATGCAATGTTATGGGAAAGGTTGCTACGTGTGACTTCCCTCTACAAACCCTGTTACCTACCTGTGATGCAATGTCACAGGAAAGGTTGCTAAGCGTGACACCCCTCTACAAACCCTGTTACCTACCTGTTACGTGGTGCGCAATGTTACACGAAAGGGTGCTACGTGTGACATCCCTCTACAAACCCTGTTACCTACCTGTGATGTGGTGCTTCATGTTACAGGAAAGGCTGCTACATGTGACATCCCTCTACAAACCCTGTTACCTACCTGTGATGTGACAGAATTAACTACTGGTGTTTTTCTATTTGCAATCAATTTTTCTCTAGAAGAAAATGCGGGTTGGGGACAAGGCAGGTTGCAGCTGAGAGGAAGGTGTAAGTATTTTAAAGAATGTTGTTTTTGATAAAACTTTACAATGTAGTTTTGATTGTATTAGAGGCTACTGATAGCTAGCCCCTACCCCCCCCCATTATGCCACGCCCTTGGCACGAGGTGATTTAGCTAACTCAAAAGAAATTATCAATTCCTTTTTGAAACCCCTTTGGCATGCATTTCCTGGGTTTTATTGCTAGATCACATCTTCTTGACATGACTTTCATTAATTTTCTGATCGAAATCTTGAAGCGGAGCTGGAATGTAGAAACTTTTGTGTTTCTCCCTAGCAAAGAATATAAAATGGCAAACCAAAGTATAGAAGTATAGTCATGCAAGACATGGAACCCCTTTCAATACAACTTTTTCATATCATAATGATACCTCTATTAAGCAGACACCTTTCATTAAAACCAACAGCTAGTTGCACAGATCCCCTAATTTTTCTTCCCACATTTACTGTAAAATAAAGCTATTTTCAGCAGACATCCAACGTGCAAGGTACCAAAGGTGTCTGCTTAATACAGGTGTATTGTAATGTTTGAGTTGCTTACCTGAACCCTTCCAAATGGTGATCAACTTTATCAGGAACATCTTACTAACTCCTTCCTTGCTTTACTTGCTGTATATTGGCATTCTATGTAATGGCCACCCCTCCCCCTGAAATCATTCTGCATCTACCGGTCATCAATTTTGACTGAACTGGAACAACACCACTTCTGTAACTGACAACCCATGATTTCTAAGGCTGCGTTTATAATGTATGGCAGGGGGAGGGGGGGCGGTGAAATTGAGGGGGGATCAGGAAAATTTTGGTAGGAAAAAGGGGGGATGGGCAAATTTTTATCAGAAAAATGGGGAATATGCACAATTTTTGGAAGAAGCTACAAGCCTTGCTTAGGGAGGATCATATTTTTTGCATGACTTTAAGGGGGGTGTTAAGAATTATTCTGGACATTTCAAATTTTCACCTGCCCCCCTTCCCCTCTGCCATACATTATGAACGCAGCCTAAGTAAAAAATCCCAGTTATAAGCCCACTAGTCTGCTTACACAAATGTCCTTAAGCTATGGAAACACGGTTTAACATTGCGCTAAATGTTGCATGCAATTGATTTTGCAAGCCATGACACGCAATGCAATTTGTACATGTTGCATGCAACATTGCTGAATTAGAAAACTATCCTACTTCAGCAACATTGCCTGCAATATTGTGCACAATGTTGCACCATGCCTTTATAGTCATAACTTCCCCTGACAATCACACCAACAACGAAACAACTTCTGTAACTGACAATTCATGATTTCTAAATAAAAAATCCCAGTTATAAGCCCACTAGTCTACTAACACAAATATCCTTACAGTTCTAACTCCCCCTGATAATCCATGATTTCTATAACGAATCCCAGTTATAAGCCCACTAGTATAGTCTGCTAACACAAATATCCTTAAAGTCCTAACCCCCGTCAAACAATGATTTTCTAAATTAAAAATACAGTTGATATTTGGATCACCAAAATGAATAATTTATTTGGTGATTCTTTGTATTGCTTCCTAAAGATACCATATAATCCCAGTCATGAGCCCACTAGTCTGCTAATACAAATATCCTTGCAGTCATAAGCCCCCATCCCAGGTTATAAGCTCACATCTGCATTCATGGCATAGATGACACATGAAGATTTGGAAAAACGAAACAAAGAAAAAACTTCCTTTTCAATCCAAACTCTTTTTCTCTCAGTTATAAGCACCTGGTGATAACACAAAAAAAACTTTGCTCACAAACGAGTATGAGTCCATGGCTTATAACAGCAATTTTATGGTATATAAGAGTTATCAGTAGAGTACAATTATCACTATTTAGTAGTAAATAGCACTAATTAAACAAAAGAAAACGATAGAATTAGCATAAGATAACACTATTTAGTGATATTTATGTTACACACATTAGTACTTGTACTCTATCAAGCATTACACAGAAATATAATTATAGAAAGTAAGGCTACCAAACAGCAAGGGCAAAAGTAATCCAAGAGGCATCATTTGAGAACCTTTAATTTTTATCAACTTCCAGGCTGTTCAGTCACAGATCGCATTGGAATTTAGCATATTTGGTTTTGCAGAGTGGAAAACCAGAGAACCCAGAAAAAAACCTTTGAATCCAGGGAGAGACCTAAAAAACTATACTTATATGTGATGCTGAGTCAAGAAATTGAACCAAAGACCCCAGAGGTCAGAGGTGGCAACACTACTAATGCCCCCTTTAATTTCCTATAAGATCAGTATATGGTTCCCAGTATATACCTAAAAGACCAGTTCTTTGCTACTTTTTTTTAACCTGGCCCTACACATATCAGTCTTGCTTACCCCTAAAAACTTACAAACACAAGAATATATATACTCCATCATCCTACCCTACCAAAATCATAGTTAATAGATTGACTATTAACTATGCCTAAATCTAGCCCCTTTCTTAACTATTTACATTATTTTTCTTACCTTCCCTCTTACACAACTGTATACATTGGAATTTAATGAAGTCCTGTTATTTGAAATGAAGTCACAGCTATGAACATAGCACTGCATAAGCAGCAAAACTAAGCTACTGAATTATTAATATATTCAAAACACTTGACCAGTCAGTAATGAAGTTGACTTGTGAATAAATAAAATCATAACATAGCCATGATATAACACACTCTCTGATTGATTAATTAACCATTTCTTAACTCTCAATATTATGAGAGTTGGGGTTTAAATTTGTTATATATCCTAACTGAATATCAAAGCATCATAGTAATAAGTTATGGATGAGATCCATTAATGTTGTGATATGAGGTACACAGCAAGGAAGAGGAACATGAAAACCACCACCAGGGGAGGGGGTGGGGCAAAGCTCAACCTCTGACAGCACGTGACAGCTTGTCCCAATCACATGGAAAATCATTCAATTTGTTGTTGTGCAAAAATATTGTTTGATGGACTGTCAATCAAAGTGTTTGTTTATTACAATTTTGGAAAACACAAAGTTTCCAAGGGTATGTGTCTATTGAATGTTGTGGAAAGGCCTTGATTGATGTCGGCCAAAGTATTCTTCACCACAACAGAAAATTGTATGGTATCACTTATTTGATTGGGATCCACTGTAATTACAGTCAAAGTAAAAAACCGTGAAAACTAAAAAAATGACTATGGGTATCGTGTTCTGACCAATCACATACTGTATGAGAATTAGTTCATTTCTAATTAACTGTCGCATAAGAACACAATGTTAAACATTCAAGACATATTTTAGGTGTTCACAGTTTTCTTACTTTGACTGTAATGCCGTTCAGTCAGAATATTTCCCTTACTTTACTTTAAAATTCAATAACATTACTTATTCATAGTCATCTGATATATATTTGTTCTAAATATTCTATTCTCTTTTGCAGTTTTAAAGGCTATATCAAATTTTATGCCATGCTTATGGAAGTGTGCACTTATTAATGACAATTAGGCTTCTTTATCAACAGCTCTATCTGGAAACTCATATATAATTCAATATTAAATGGCAAGGTATAATTTCACATGCCTTCATTGGCCAATAAATTGATAAAATACTAATACGAATTTGTGGTCCATAACATACTATACCGACCAACATGCAATTTTCAGGGGTATGTTATGTTATGTAAGTTATGGAACCTGGTTTCCCCCCACTTTTTCATAGCCTGTGTGCCACGCACTTGGGCCATAAAAAAGTAGTCCATAACTCATGGCACTTGGTTAATAAGAGCTGTATATTCAGAAAAAAATATTCAGACTTTGCAAGATACAGTGATCCTAGATAATTTAGTACTCATATCCAAGCCCACGTCAAATTTTTAAAATGTTCTTCCCAACAGCTAATAATATGGTCATGGTTATTAAAGTGCACATGAACCCTTTGACAATACATTCAGTACTG